CCCCCCCCCCCCCCCCGCTTTGTATAAAGAAGATAATTTTTACTAATACTTTTTTTGGACAGCATTTCCCACCTGAGGTGCTGGGAGAGACATAGTTGCCATAATGGCTTAGTTACTAGGTTATTATCAAAGCAGGAGTTTTTATAATAAAACTCCAGACAAATTAGGTACAATTAGGGGAAGCATGGGATACCTTCCTAAGAAAACAATTTTTTTTTAAGATCCCAAGCCATTAAAATCTTGTCTATTGAATATACAACTTGGGGTTCTAGAAATGAGATTTTAGCACTTTCTTCCTCTTTGGGACCACTAAGTCTTTCTCAACATTTAATGAGCACCAGCTGTGGGTCAAGACTAATGTCAACTGTTTCCATGGTAACATGATAACATGTTTCTTGGCATCCAGATGACTTAATCACATTTTGCCTTTTCTCGGTCTTCTAACCTATATACATTCTTTTTCCTGGACTACTTTTCTTTTCTTTCTTCACCTATTTATCATCCAGCACTCAGATAAAACATCACTTATTCAGGAAGCTTTTTTGATTTCCCCAAATAGGCCAGTCTCCTTGTTCCATTCTCTCATAGTACCATGTACTTCTTTTTTATAGTATGTCTCAGAATTGAAATTTCACAAATATTTTACGGTATTTGATTAATGTCTTTCTCTCTGAAGTAAATGTTTGAGCTCCAAAAGAGTAATTCCTATGTTATGTCTCACCAATGTGTTCCTCCACTGTGCTTGTTAGTTCTGTGGTGTTAGCTTGGCTGGGTTGTGGAGTCCAATTGTACCGGGGTGTAGATGTTTCTGTGACAGAATTTTGTAGATGTGCTTAACATTTACAGTCAATGTGAGAAAAACAAATTACCTTTCATAATGTGTATGGGTCTCATTCCACCAGTAGTAGGCCTTAGGAGTGAAAGCTGAAGTTTCTCATTGGGGTAAGATTCTATTTCAAGACTAATCGCATGCTGCCATAATTCCTAACTGTCTACCAGTTTCTGACACAAGAGTGCTAGTGTTGTGTAACCTACAGATTTTGACTTTGCCAATCCCCGCAATCATATGAGCCAATTCCTTAAAAGTCTGTCTTTTGGCATAGCACTCCTTGGCCTCAAAACCTACTACACAATGTTAATAACCAAATAATTGTACCGTGGCACTGGTACAATGACTGGTACATAGATCAATGGAACAGAATTGAGAGCCTAGAAATGGACTCAGCTATCTATGGCCAACTGATACTTGACAAGGAAATAAAACCTGTCAAATGTGGAAATGGCAAACTCTTCCACAAATGGTGCTAGCAAAACTGGGCTGCTAGTTGTAAAAAGCTGAAACAAGATCCACATCTCACGCCATGCACAAAAATCAATTTAAGGTGAATCAGAGACCTGGAAGTTAAGGCCAAAACCATAAAGTTCATCAGAGACAAACTGGGACCAAGCTTAGACATAGTCTAAGTCTATGGTATAAAGTGACTGCTAAATACAACATGAAATACACAATCTGGAGAAGATAAACTTGTTGAATGGGACTTTCTGAAGATTAAATACCTGTGCACATCAAAAAAATTTTCCATTAGAGTGAAAAGAAAAACCTACTGATTGGGAAAAAATACTTTTGGAAATACCCTTTCAGACAGGGTCTTGTAGCCAAAGTTTATAGACTCCTACTGGACTTCCATAAGAAATAGACTGATAACACAATTATAAAATGGGCAAAAGACATGGAAAAACTTTTTACAGAGGAAGATATTTGGATCTTCAACAGATACATCAGGAAATGCTCAAAATCACTGGCAATAAGAGAGATGCAAATAAAAATCACAATGAGATACCATCTCACTCCCATAGCACTGGCAAAGTTTAATAGGACAGCAAGTAATAAATCTTGGAGAGATGTGGAGAGATAGGAACTTTCTTACACTGTTGATGGGGTTGTAAAATGGTACACCCACTCTGAAAGACAGTTTGGCATTTCTTCAAAAAGCTAAACATAAAAATTCCATTTGACACGACTATTTTACTGCTTGGAATATACCCTGAGAAAATTAAAACTGAGGCACAAATGAAGATCTTTACACCAGTGTTCATAGCAGCATTATTCACCATGTCAAGAAAATTCAACCAGTCCAAATATCCAACCACAATTGGATTGAGAAATTATGGTACTTTCATGAGATGGAATACTACATACACATCATACAGTAGCAATGAGTTTGACAATCACTACCTACCTTGGGAAGGACTGGAGAACATCATGCTAAGTGAGTTAATTCAGTTAACTCAGTTCCATATGGACAAAAACTGTATAATACCATTCTTTTAGAAATAGATAAATAGTAAAATCTGTATTAAGATGCAAGGGATGGGGGAGGTAGGAGCAGAGGGTAATAATAGGATCACACAATTTGACGGCTGGAGGAAGGGGTGGGTAAAGGGAATGGGAACGATACAGTGTGAAAAGCAAAGTATATGATATTTGTAAATAAACCAGCATAAAATAAAAAAATAATTAAAAAAGAGGCAGTGGTGATGAAGGAGGAAGTTCAAGCTGCTTTGAAAGAGTTGGCTAAAAATAAGACAGTAGGAATTGATGCAATAACAACTGACATATTTCAACAAATAGATGCAGCCCTGGACATATTCACCATGTTGTGCCAAGAAATCTAGAGAACAATTACCTGTGCAAGTGACTGGAAGCAATCTATATTTATTCTAATCTCAAAAAAAGATGATCCAACATGTGTGGATATTATAAAATAATATCATAAATGTCACACACAAGGAAAAGACTTTTGAAAATGATCCGAAAATGATAGATCAACAGAGAACTCCCAAAAATATAAGCTGGATTTAGAAGAGGCCATGTCACTAGGAACATTATAAGCAATATTAGATGGGTCTGA